GAAAAGGAGCCGCTCAGCTTTGGAGAAAGAGAGGGCGGTGTGTTTGTGAAGACACCCGTCCGCTGGTGTCTGGGCCGAGGAGGCCGTACTTGCTACTGTCGTTCTGTCTTTAAGCAGCGCCAGTTCTCACTGTACTCACCACCAGATAATAGTGTTCCACGCTGAGAAAACCTGGTTCTAGCTCCTTCTATAAGTTTCAGCCTGTTCAATGGTATCAGCTGCTCTCCTCTACGTCATGTATGTGTATGTGTATGTATTGTGTTATTCCTGCCAAGCTGGGGACAGTACAGTCTACATACCCTGACAATAAAAACAAAAACATCATTTCTCACATTTGTGTGAAGTTGACAACAGAAAACCCACGCACCTTTCACCCTCTCCAGAGTCCTTCACCTAACTGCTGTTACTAGCTGGACTTTTACTTAATCAGCTGGTAGCATATTCCTTGAAATGTCATCTTTCTGCTTTGATCTGATTTCAATCAGGGATAATTACAGCATTAAATTCTAAACCAAAGAGTAGTGGAGATCCAAGAGAAAATATAATTCAACTTATAGTTCTAAAATTGGCCTATACATTTGAAATACTAACTCACCTTAACATTAAAATCAACCTTTCTTAAAAGCTTATCTAATCAAATTTATACTAGAGGCCAGGTGCACGGGTAAGGTTCCTAGGCCTGGCCAGTGAGCAGGGCCAATCTGCAGGGCAAACAATGGGGTGATTCTGGTGGTGAAGGTGGGGGGCAGCTCCTACATTGAGTGTCTGTCCCCTGGTGATCAGTGCGTGTCATAGCGACCAGTCATTCTACTGGTTGTTCTGTCATTCGGTCGATTTGCATATTAGGGTTTTATAATATTATATAGGATAGGCTTTTGGAATTCACCATTCACAAGAAAATTATAACAAAAAGTTACCTCTTCTATTTTTAAGCCTTACTGGAAGATATGTTTATTGATTTAGAGAGAGGGGAAGGGAGAGAATGAGAGAGAGAGGAACATCAATGTGGGGAACATTGATTGGTTGCCTCCTGTATGCTCCCTGACCAGGAATCAAACCCGAAACCTTTTGTTGCAAGGTGTGACACCCCCACTCACTGAGCCACACCTACCAGGGCTTACCTTTTCTGTAGACAATTTGGCAATAAATTTGGTATGTTAATTGGAACAAGAGAATGGGAAAATATTCAGGTAAAAATGAGCTCTTAACATGTTGTGTGTGTGCATGGAGGGTGTGCTTTGTTTTGCTTTTTTAACTGAGTAATCTAACCAGAAGACTCTTGCTGAAGGCATCGTTTTGACTGCGGTGCAGGTGTCACAGGGAGGGTTTCGGTGACTGCTGGCACAGTCCAGGTCTGAGAGCACAGATGCCTAGACCTGAGGGGTACTTTGGGGAATGGAAAAGCAGAGATGGACTGGTGAGATGTTTAGAAGGAAGGATGCATAAGACTTTGTAAAGAGCTGAATGGAGGGATGGGGCAAACCAAAGAGTATTTTTAAGCTTAGGAAACTGGAGCTACTCAATTTGGGGAAAGAACAAGGGACTTGGTAGAAAGAGACATAAGAATTGCAAGGGTTTACCTGGTAAGTTACATGAAATACCCACAGTCATTACAAGCGGGGCTGCAGGCTGTGATGACTGTGGCCTCCTGCGCACCACGCCTGTGGGAACTCCGGATTCTCAGCACCAACCACGGGCCAGCCCACAGTTGTGCTCGCGTGGGGCCTGGCCAACCAACTAATAGAGATTTGGGGTCAACTTTACAAAGAAAACAAAGCTGTGAGTTTGAACAAGTAACAAGGATAGGATGCAAAGAAAGAAACTAAGGAGACCAAGTCTTGAGAAATAAATATATTGAAGAGCTGGGAGAGGTGGTGGGGAACAACTAACAACAGAGAAAAGGTTAGTAAAAAAAAATTAAACCAAAACAGAGAGAGAAAGGAAGAGAAGGGACAGATGAACAAGAACAGAATGAGAGGAGCAGGGAGGAGAGATGCTGCTTATTATTAATGTGACTGTGTGTATAGATATGCACCCAGTGAACAGGTGGATGCAAAAATTAAAAAGTTACATTTAGTGGACAAAAATAAAAAGGATTAAAGTGTTTCCTTAATAACTGAAAGTAAATAAATGAATCGTTCCTGTCATATTGATTCATCTATTGCATGTGGCAGCTCAATAAATGTTAATTGAATTAAATTAATAGCATTTGCTCAATGGTAATAAAAAATTAATTAACTGTCTGTCTTTTCTGATATTTAAGTGCATGCCCATTGGTTCTGAAATTGCTTCTAGCCCAAACATAAATTTTCTATTTTACTGACTTAAGATACACTTAATTTTTTTCCCTGAGGTACACAGTTGAGCTTCTAATTTTTGCCCTAACATTGGTGTTTTTTTCTGTTGAGAAAAATTATTTTTCCTACATTAATGTCAAGATCTATCTATAACATCCCAAATATAGTTTCACATGTTCCTTATATAGTTTCTCTGCAGAGATGTGATACCATTTTGATGTGATTCTCCTTTTAGCTTATGCTACTTTGTAATACTTTGTTACAATGTCAAATACCAGCATGAAAGATGCATTCTGGGGAAACACTGTTAGCGTTGCCTCTATAAGACAGAAGATGTCATTTACATTCACCCAGAAACTGCTTCCTTCAGATGTCAGATTCCGGGCTGAACAGACTGGGGTGTGTGTCAGATGACTTTCCAATGAGCAACAGATAGTTCCCACGAGGAAATTTAAAAAAATAAAATAAAAATATAAACAGAGATATAGGATTAAAATAACTTTATGAATGGCAGTTTAAGTTCTCCATAAAATTCTCTCAGTACAAGCCCAGTACCTCCAAATGGTTGCTGTACTTAAAATTGTCACAAAATTAAAAAGAGAATCATGTACCACTTGGCTATGTACCGTCTTCTCTGTATGTTCTCATATTTCAGTAACCTCTATCCAATTTTTTTGTTGTTGTTACTGAATTACTTTGTGTGAAGGCAATTTGAATTCCATGCAGCCTGACTGTGTGGATCATTTGAGCTGATTGTTAATTGCACCTGTAAGCACGGGGCTGCTGCACGCTCCCTACTTAGCAAGTTCCGTTACCATCAGCTCTTTCTGAGCGGCCCCTGCGCCTTGCAAAGCTGCTGTGCCTGACCGACAGGACCCTGTGTGCCAGAGGCACCTGGTGTGGCTAAGGCTGTTCCCAGAGAGGCGTGTCAGTAGGCTGTCTGCCGGGCTTCATTTTGGGTCGGGACACGTCACTGGACTCGGGGTGGGTGAGGAGGGTTTTGCTGACGTGCAGTCTTTACAGCCAGGAAGCGAGACAAAAGCTACAGACAAATCAGAGCAAAGCTTTTAGAACCCAGCAGGCCTGGGTTGAAATCCCACTTCCACCATTTGCTAAGAAAGATTCTTCAGGCAACTTATAAACTATTAATATCTGAGCCTCAGTTACACTCATTCAGCCTTTAGCTGGAGACACCAATTCATACTTTTCTCTCTGTTCAGAGAGGCTGGCAGTATCGACCTCTTAGTGTTTTTGTTAAGTAAGGTGTACAGGGTGAGGCAAAAGTAGGTTTATGGTTGTTCATATAGAAAATGCTATAGTAAGTGATAAATAATAATACAAGAATAAACTTTCACATGCTTACAACTGTAAACCTACTTTTGCCCCATTCTTCGTATGTGATTTGGTTTGCGGCCTGGGTGCTTTGCCCCCAGGAAATATTTGGCAATATCTAGAGACTTTTTTTCGTCACAACCTAGGGTGGTGGGTGTCACTGGCATGAGCAGGGAGAGGACAGGGATGCTGCCAAACTTCCTGCAGTCCCCCATCATGAACAGTGATCTGGCCCCAAATAGCACATGTTGAAGAGCCCTGAGGACTGGTGTACAGGCTATGTTTGTGATATTAGCTGGTTACTGGGCACTTTGGTACCCAAGAGAAATAAATTATTTCTAGCAGCATCCTTGTATCATTAATTTGGTGGATCTCTCTTGGGTTATAGGAAGCCAAGAGGTTCTCAGTCTGTTAAGCTAATTCTATCTCTTCAATATTTCATTAATTACTATCAACAATAGTTGTTTTTTCTGAACACTTATTTCTGCCAATCCTTTTTAGGATGAATCAAACTGCCATTAAGAGCTATAAAGCCAGCAGCATAAGGGTTGGGAATAAAAATTAAATATTGTTGAAAGCCAACGCTATTGGGAGGATCGGAAGGAAATAAAAGGGCCTAAGACAATCGTGTGTGCTGTACTGTTAGCTCCCCTTCTGTTACGAGACCTTGGAGAGCGACCGGTCATGACTGGTTTCTGAACATCACTCATGCACACAGCAGTGGCGTGTTCTCTCCCCCTCTCCACTCTCAAACGCAAAGGTCCCCTGAGGCAGGGAGTCTCAAATGTGCCTGCATGATGGAATCAACTGAGGAGCTTCAAAAATCCCCAGGGACTGCGATCTGATCTGTTGGGTGGAGTGAAGAGAAGTAAGTGGTGGCCTGAGCTTTAAAAAATGCCAAATTTTAAAAGGGTTCCCCATGTGAATTGTGCTCTGAAGACTTTTATAATTATTTTTATAATTATACTTTTATAATTATTGCACTCTTTCATTCTTACTTGTATTTTCATACAAAATTTTCTGCTCCAAAATGCTTCATTCTTTTTTATTGTTTGTTTTGTTTTTTAAAAAATGTTCAGCCACAGTTTATATTCAGTGTACAGCATAATGGTTAGACACTCATGTGTTGTACAGAGTGGTCCCTTCCCATCAGTAACTCCAGCGCCAACCTGGCGTCATAGGTAGTTGTTAATTATTGACTATATTTACATCCCTGTGACTATTTTATAACTACCAGTTGTTTTTAAAAATACTTTTTGTTCTTAGAGAAATCTAGAATGTGAAATTTTCTGCAAATGTCCATTCTTAGGATCACTAAATTGTATCTGCTATAGTGAGCTTGTGTGTGTGTGTTTTTCTTTTTTTACCTAGATACGCAACTCACAAATGACAAACATGCAGAAGAGAAACCCATTAATGCTATCGTTATCAATTCAGTATCGGAGTTCAACATCACAGATGGACCAGCCAAGGAAACTTCCACCGAGAAAAAGCTGTCAGGATCCACCACATCACTGTCCTCCCTTGAAGAATGTCAAACGAGATTTTCTTACCTCCAAACCGATACGCCAGCTCATCAGAGAGACACTGATGGTATGTTTCTCAGAACCACCCTCTCTAAATAAAGCTCCCAGCCCCCAGCCCTGTGCACGCATCACATGTGCTGTTAGGGGGGATGCTGCATGAATATTAAACAAGACGGCTTTCACTTGAGAGCCCTGGTGAGTGACACATGTCAAGGTCACTTTGCAATGATGAGGTGCTTGGCAGATGGGTTGCTCTCAAGGCTGGGAGTCAGAGGCAGGCTGCTTCGGAAGCGGTGGGGTGAGGTGCACTCGCTTTTGCTGTGGGGCTACGAAGTGGTGAAGAAAAGGGCACACTTTCTTTCCTCAGATCTGGGGCTGCTGAGGTGGAGAGGAGAAGGCAGGGTGGAGTGGCACTGACATGCTGGGACAGTATAAACGTAGGCTGCATAGAATACCGAGATGCTTACAGCAGCAACTTGCATAAAAGGGTTGGTTCCTCTAGGCCAGTGTTTCCCAACCTTCTCTCATGATGAGAATCACCTGGTGGAGTTGTTAAAACACAGATTCCCAGATCCCAACTAAGAAGTGCTAAACTAGAATTTTTGGGAACATATAGGTAAAATTGTATACTTAACTAGTGCTCTAAGACAGATTTTATAGACAGAGCACTAAGTTAGGTATGCAATTTTACCTATATGTTCTCAAAAATTCTAGTTTAGCACTTCTTAGTTGGGATTCGGGAATCTGTGTTTTAACAACTCCACCAGGTGATTCTCATCATGAGAGAAGGTTGGGAAACACTGCTCTAGGCAATATCACTTGCCAAGCATGCTGATCAGCGCAAACCTACACCACGCTGGCCCCGCACGTGACAAAGCACGTTCCGTCCGCAGAGCCTGTTTCCAACTGATTTGGAGCTAAATGGTTAGGATAGTCAAGTTTAAAGTCACGGACAACACCAAGACACGCAAACTGCACTCAGGGTAACCGTGCAGTGGCCTTTACGGGAGACATAAGCCTTTTAAGAACATTGTGTTAAGAGAAAGCTAGAAGGAGTTTCTCAAAGGAAAATTCAAACAGGTATAGTTTCTGGTCTGTAATTAAATTCATATTTACTTTTTACAAATAAGAAAAAAAAAATTAAAACAAAGTCTGTGTAAGAGGAACTTGGAATCACATCAGTTTAACTCCTGGCTCTGAAATCGTTAACTGCAAAACTGTTTGTCTGTCTGTTGCCAACTCTGAAGCTCAGCCTCTGGTGACATAACGGGCTGGTAGCAGCCCACAGAGCTTTGAAGGTGACCTGAATGACATGCGTGCAGCAGTCGGTGCAGAGCTGTCACACCATAGGTTCCGGGTGTGCTTTTATGATGATTACAGTTTTAGAAAATAGGGAAGAGAAGATTCTAACATGTCATATAGGTGGTGTCTTGTACAAACGTTGTCATGGAAGCTTTAGACCAGAAGCCACAGACCCAGCTGCCTGGTCAGCAGGAGACGCTGGGATGCCGGTGTAAACTGGAAAGAGGTGACCAGAGGGCGAGGCAGGAGAGGCAGAGGAGGAGGGAGAGGCACAGTGCCCACTAGCGCCTGGGAACTTGTTCCCTTACCAACCCCCACACAGCCCAGCAGCTCGGGCCCACGTTGGCCTGCGACTGCCAGGTCATGACCTCAAGTCCAAGATGATGCCCAAGTTTCTGGCTTTTTCAGTTTGATGCCAAGCAGGAAAACAGGCCATGCAGCAGAGGCCTCTGCATTTTGTCAGCTCGTGTCAGGGACGCCAGGGTCTTCCTCGTAAAGGGTCCTGGCCGTGTGACCCCAGAATTGGAACCCGCCCTGGTGTTCAGGCACACTGGGCAGCGCGGCGCAGGCCTCCCTGAGCCCCAGCAGGGGCGGGAGAAGGAGCAGCCTTGTGGTGCCGCACACCCCATTCTCAGGCCAGAGGGCCGCTGCACTGAAGCAGCCGCCATGCGGAGCATCTCGCATCCTCCTCAAGAGCTGAAGGGAGCCGTGGGCACCACTGGGCCGCTTCCGCAGGCCCGGGCGCAGGCCAGTGACCAGGGCGTTCTGGCTCACGGCCAGCACAGCAGCTGCCGCCCAGCCCTCCTCCCCTCCCTCCCACAGTGGCAGCCCTCCCCCACGGTGAGAGACGGTGGGACCTGGGGGGCAGAGTGCAGGAACCCAGGCCAAGGCCACACTCAGGCCGAACCACACTCCGTTACCCTGAAGGACACGCTCAGGGGAGTCAGAGCTAAGTCAGACGCTTCCCGGTGGAGCGTTTCGTGGTGATTAATTTAGGGGCAGCCGGTGGGAGCAGGTCACTCGCACAGAGGTAAATGCAGGAGCCGCTTCCAGAACCAGCGGGGACAGAGGGGAGGGCAGCACGCCCACTCCTGTGCCACGTGCGGTCCATTTCTTTTCAAACGCATAGTGAGTGCGGGGACGGTGCTTAATTGCTGATGTCCATTATTTACACACATAGCCGTCCTGCTAAACAGCACGCACAGCCTCCCAGTGCGGGTCACGGTGCACGATGGGGTTTCACAGCATTTTACGGAGGCCCCGCCGGTCCCTCCGGGACCCGGGAGGAGGCCCGGGCACCGCCCGCCTCCACAGTGTTTCTCCGTTCTGACTGCAGAAGCATCCCCGTGGGTACGAAAAGCAGGGAGACGGTGGTGAGAACACAGGCTCCCGAAAGGAATCCTGGGAGCACACCTAATTGGTGTGTAATTTTGAATCTGAGATGTCTCATCCAGGTGGAAGAGGAGATCACAAATACAAGATACCTCCAAAGAACAGTCTTAATTACACCATGGGCTACTGAGTAAAATGATTACATTTCCTCCCCAGCAAATGTCATACAATTAAATGCAGTAGTGTCACCTGATAAAGTGTTTCAATTTTATAATTATTTCAGTTCATTTGCTCAGAAAATAAAAGACATAAGCACAAATTTACTAAGTATCACCCAAATCCAGTCATTCCGGCTCCAGAGAACTGACTGGATGTTAGTTGTGCTTGTCTGAACCTAAATGGATCCTGACACGTTTAAGGAGCTGCCGGCATGGATGACGGCGGGGTGACCCGGCTGGAAGGAGCACTCAGTCATATTTACTCACACTCTGCAGTGCAGACGTTTTACAAACGGGAAGTGGGAACCAATGTGTGCACTTTCTGACCAAGACCTTCCAGTGACCGCCCAGAGCCGCTGCGAGCGAGCGAGCTTCCTGGCTCCGCCAGATTCCCCCCACATGGCCCCTGTGGCTCCCAGGCCCGCTCTCCGGATCTGAGCGGGCTCCGCGGGCCTGCTCTCTGCCTCTGTTTGAGGAGAAGAAGGGTGATTGCTCTTTTTCTGGGGTCACTCCCGGAAGAACCATCATCTTGCTGTATTGGATGGCAATTCTCAAAGCAGCAGGGGGCAGCTCCTGGGGCTGAGTGTTCCCAGCAGGCCCGCTCCTGCCACCCCAACCCGACCCTCATCCCAGCACCAGAGGAGGCCGCAGGGGACAGGGGGCAAGGCGCAGGGGCAGACCCCAAGGGGGAAGGGAGTAGGAGGAGGTCCCAGGGGTCAGGGGGCAGGGGATGCCCAGGGACCAGAGGGCATGGGGAGGTCAGGGCTGGCCCCAGGGCCAGGCTGAAAGCTGGAGGGTTCTCAGGAAGACAGGGTGTGGCCATGAAAGCAGCATTTGTGGAAACTCCTTGTAGCGGCACCTTTTCCACTGTGATCGCATGTGACTCTTTGTAACGAGGACCCGCCCACCACCACCACCAGCAGCAGCAGCAGCAAACACCCCGGAAGGGAGCCTGGCCTGGTCCCAGCAGCCGCGGCCGGTGCTCCCGTGGCCGCCCGCCCCTCCTGTGCGAAGGGACCACGCAGCGAGCCTGCGCTGCCCTGCAGCACGGGGTCAGAGGGCGTGGGGAAAAGTGTGAGCACACTTGGAAGTTGGGGAAGATCTGTTTCCAATTCATTAATGTTGCCATGTTTTCTGTTAAAGGCTCTGCCTTTTATAATCAAATAAAAAGGACTGAGAACGAACTCGCTCTATTCTCAAGTGCAAAGTAGAAGGGAGAGGAAAGAAATGCTAATTTGGCCCAAGAGGTGGGTGAAAACGTCCTTTTTTTTTTTAATAAAATGGATGGCAGACGTCAGGAGCAGGCCTCTGGCACCTGCCAACTCCCAGAGACCTGGCACCAGAACTGAGCCCGCGGCTCTGTGCCCACAGGAACTGTTAGGTCACTGCACAGACAAGTCCCTGTCCTTTCCCAGGACATGAGCCCCCTGCACCCGCCCCCTCACCTCCGAACTACCCCGAGTCTCCTCCACAAAGGATGGGGCGCAGGGGGCGCTGTCACCAGTCATGCCCCGAGGACGTCTCCTGTGCCTCCGCCTGCGGGGCAGGGGCGGTTGCTGAGTTTTTCCTGGGGGCGCCTCCTCTGTGCAGGGCTGCCTCAGCAGCAGGCTTGGTGTTGGTGACACTGGAAAGGCTTTAAGCCCAGATCTTTGATCACCAACACGCCCTGGACAGAAATGCATACGCAAAACAGAGTCTGCACTGTGCTCACTTCTGAGTTTTTGTGGGTGCTTTGCAGTGACGTAGGAGACATGGGTGAGATGATCACACGTTAGAAACCAGCTCTCGGTGAATAAAACTGCACCCTCCGGCAGAGAGAACGTCCTGTAAGGTGCGAGGGAGCGCTGCCTGCACCCACGCCTGGGGGTTAAGGTGCCGCGAAGCCCGGGCGGCCTCCACCGCTGTGTCTTGGGGAAGGGGCCGGGCCAGGAGGCAGGGCAGACAGGAGGAAGGCTCTGTCCATGTCCACCCAGGCAGGACTCACGTTGGACACAGTGTCTTGTAAAAGAAATTGAAACATTTGCTCCTTTGTAGAAAGGTTCCCATGCTCTTTCTTCTCTCTTGAGGATTGACAGTCCAGGAAGGATGAAAGGGAACATTTCCTGGGAAGCGTGTTGAGGCTGAGTGAGGGGCTCAGGGCTGCACTGCCACCGGCCAGCACGCCTCCCTCTGGCTGCACGGTTTCTGCCAAGGAGAGTCCGGAAGGCAAAGCTACTCTCTCTCTGCTGGGGAAGCCCTTCCCTTCGCCCACCAGCTATTTCCGGGCACTGACCTCAGTCACAGGACATGTCATGCGAACGCTTAGGTAGATTTCTACAAAACACCCCCATGTTTTTGGGAAATTTCTAACTAAAAAGAAAAGTTATAATTTTAACAAGAGAACTGCTACATCTTCTAACTAATTCCCTTTATGAAAACCAAAAATGTAATAACCTATAACCCATCACAGCTGTTTGGCTAGAATTGCCAATTACCTTCAAGGCCTTAGAGATACTTTTTTAGGTTTTTACAAGTCTGCATAGTAAATCTTTAGACCAATTTTCTTAAAAGGGATTGATCAGATTTATACCTTTTTGGGAATATAATGACGTATTCTTCTAATCAAGGTTTTATAGAACTGAAGGAAAACTAGAGACAAGGATTAAACAGAGAATACAATAAAATAAAACTATGGTTAGTTAAAAGTTACTGACATTAGGTTTTGAAAGGTGCTTTTCGCTTGGATTTGAATACAGGTGTGGAGAGTGCATGGGAATCCACACCAAACAAATAAGAAAGCCTTGCGACCAAATCGGAGAAGTTTGTAGTCTTTCCCTGTCCCAACCCTAACTGCTCCTGAACCATCCCTGCTCCGAGGACCTGCTGGTCTCCAGACGGCTGTGTGGCTCCCAGCAGCTCCGCATGCCCAGTGAACAGAGGTCAGAGGTGACAGGCTCTAAATGAGCCGATTGTGTGGGATCAATAGGAAACGCTCAGGAAGCCAATAAGCCCTCATTAAGGAGAGGGTGCCTGGGGGGGGGGGGGGAGCCTCAGACAGCACGGGGCCCGCCGGCCTGCCGCCCGCCGCGGACAGGAGCTGAGAAGGGCGGTGAGCTACCACGGCCATGGCCACACCAGCCCTCCACACCACTGCCCTGCGCCCTGCTCACTGTCTTTTCCTCCTTTGCACAGAGGAGTGCGCCTCCCTCATCCTCACCTGCCTCTTCTGCCAGTTCTGGGACTGCCTCCTGAGGCTCCCGGACACGTGTGAGACGGTGTGCACCAACGCGTGCTGCCCCTCCCACCGCTACCAACACACCTCGGACGAAGGCCACTCCCGGAACGACTGCAACTGCAACTGTGACATGGACTGCAGCCTGTTTGAGTCCTGCCACGAGACCGGCGAGTGCCTGGAGCTGGCCATGGAGATTTCAGAGATCTGCTACCGCTAGCCGGAGGGCCTGCCCGCGGAGCCTGGGAAGTCAGCAGGGCCCTCCAAGATCGTCTTCCAAATTCCACACCCGCACGGCTCGCTGAAGACTAAGATGCTGATCGCATGCGATGAGCACGGCCTAAGTCCCTCCTCCACGCCCTGGGCAAGAGATGTGTCCCAGCCACACAGCATGCTGACCGCTGTGCTCGTGCGCTCGCTGCTTGCCGCATGAATGTGACTTCACTCACAGACTCGGGACAAATTAGTGCATTCTTTACCATTGACACATGTTAGCTCATCTTTCTAATGGACTCATGCATAAACATTATGCATTGTTGGTTATTATTAATAATGTATTGCATAACATCATTTTGTAATTAAAAATTTATTTATACGATCTCTTAAAATTCACTTATCTGTACAGTTTAGGTAGGAAAGGGAATTACATAAATTAGAAACCATGTCCCCGTAATTACAGCAGATGTCTGGGAGCACCTCCAGTGGATTTCGAGCATGATGTCCTCTGAGGGAGCCGGTGGCTCTAGCCCGTGTTACTCCATGTGCAAGGCGGTGGCCTCGCCAGTGACACGTGTTCTTAACTCCTTTTATCCAGTGAGTGGAAATGGGAATTCTGTGCAAGTTTCAAGAAAATGGCCCAGATCATCGATTCCTCGTTTCCTCCTTTCTGTTTGTCCGGTCCCACGGGTAACGGGACATTAAAACAGAATCAGCTCGCTTTGCTGACCCATTTGCACGGGTGCCGAGGGGCTGACTACCTGGTTTCCCAAATCAGCAAGTGCTTTCAAAAGCATCGTGTTCTCTCCTGATGAAGTTTAAGGTAATTAAGAATTACGCTGAGCGCCTCCACACACTTACAGATTTCCAAAGAGGATTTGTGTGGCCCTGCCGTGTGGCTCAGGGTGCGCTGCCCTGCAAGCTTTCAGCTGGACTCCCGGCTGCACCTGCCCGGCTCCCGGGCGGGTGTGCCGGAGGCAGCTCTTCACATGCTCTCACATCCGTGTTTCCTTCTCGCCCGCTCCCTGCCTCTCTCTCTAAAATATCAATTACATTTTTTTAAAAGAGATTTTATGTAAATTAGAATGTACTTTTCAAATCAACCAGATTATTTTTGGGGGAAACACATCTAGGTTGAAGTTACACTGGACTTGTTCTGTCTCCGGCAGGCATGGCATGGCTCATTGCTGTGTTCTTATGTATTCCGGGGAGATGCTGCACTGTACTTATTGGACATAAAAAGCACAATGTATCAATAACCAAGCGGAGACGGCAGCAGTGAGGTGGAGAGGCAGGGAACTTATTGCAATCCAGGCAAACAGCAAAAACTTCAAAGGACCTGCTTTTGCTTGACTAGGTAATTTCAAGCAAAAGTTACATTTATTCGGTTTCTGTAGTAAACTGACACATTTTTCTACTCAGCAGTAAATTCCTCCAAACACTGAAAACTCCTCCTGGGCCGCCTCGGGAAAGGGGCCGCTGGCTCCGTCTGGCTCCCGGCCGTGCTCACCGGGCCTGGTGGCCTCAGCCCGGCGGCCAGGGCTGTGTCAGAGCGGAAAGGGCGCCCCCCTGGGTGCGCAGGACACAGGACGCGCAGGTCGGTGTGGGGGAGGAGTAGCTTCTTACAAAGGAATGGAACATTCTCATCCAACATCCTCCCTTTGCACAGAGAAAGGAGAGGCCCCAGGAACTGACATCCCCAAGACAGTGAGTGCGCGGCAGTGACGGGCCTGACTAGTCTCTAACCTTCTAAGCCCTGTGCCTCCGCAGCTCCTACTGTCCAGGCCCACAGGTCAGCTGCTCCAGCTCCCACAGGCTGGTGCCTAAATGGCTGTTCCCTTATGCTGGCCCTGCCCCCGCTCTCCGGCCCCTGCCATGGTCCAGTCACAGAGCAGAGGGCCCTGCCGGACGGTCTTGGGGATCCTGCCCTGGAGTCACTGATGGGGTCATGCCGCATTGTTGTTGAGGATTTTGACCATCATCCCTTCGTCTTTCCAGACCCTCAGGCCGCACAGAGCTTATGCATTTCAAATGCGAATTGAACGCTTGTCAGTTAGAGACATAACAATCACCAGGGCTTACTTTATGACGTGGTCAGAATACCAGGGGCTTTCTGTGGCCTCTTTCCAAGGCTGTTCACCCGTCCCTCCCTCGCAGAACCCACTGTGCTGGAGCAGGAGGTCTGCTATACAAAGTGTGCCATTTCTTTTCTTCCTAACCAACAATAAAACATTATCCTTTTTGCAAACATGAATGGCTCTTTCAATTGCATTCTTACACAATAAAACATATGCGGCTGGGAAAATGCCACTGCAGAGGTAAGACGGATGAAAAGGAAATGTGATTATTGATTAAATACAAATATTAGAATCTGAGAAGGATCCGAGCTCTTCCACAATGATGAAGGCCTGTGATTAAAATAAAGACAATGTTATTCTATAAGGCGGGTCTTCGGGAAAGAGTGTTCCTATTGAAGGGAAACTCTCGGTAAGAGAGATTTGAGCAGGTACAACCGTTATAGAGAATTGAGAACAGAGATTTCCCACAGCAATATGACCAGGCAGGTGCATTGTCTTTGCTTTGCTCATTGGGTTTGTATAAAATCATGCTTCTCTAAAAGCCTACAAAATATGGAAACCAGTGACGTTTAACTTGCTAATAAAATGTTCCCACTACCTAAGCTGATAGGCCTACAAAATTAATTGTCAATGCTGGACATTCAAGGTTAATAAAGCAAACACCACTTCCGTTTTCTCCAAGGGAGTATGAGAGCATATTGAGGTAGAGGAACTTTACAAAAAGGAAATACCACATAAAGGCACATCAGCATTTTTTTTACAAGGATACATTTGTAGGTGGAAATGCTAGAACAGAATTCATGACCCAATTCCCAAAGTTTCTCCTTCTACAAAATGGAGCAAAAAGATGAGATGCACACTTCTGTCAGGTGGTTTGACTGGAAGAGTTTGCTCATTAAATACTAAATTTAACTCAGACTATTCACGGGTATAATCTCTGATGAAATACAAGTACTTGGCTTATGGTGTCTGGAGTATTCTTTATATATATTGATTTCAGAGAGGAAGGGAGAGGGAGAGAGATAGAAACGTCAATGATGAAAGAGGTTCATTGACCAGCTGCCTCCTGCACAGCCCTATTGGGAATCAAGCCCACAACCTGGGCATGTGCCCTGACCAGGAATGGAGCCTGGGACCTTCTGGTTCATAGATCAATGCTCAAATACTGAGGCACACCTGCCGTCCTGGGTATTCTTTGAAGAAGATGCCTGAGTTAAACCTAAAGAGTTGTCATATTTAGCCTCATGTGAGTTGTGTAGAAAGGCAACAAGAGGAGAGGATGACTTCTTAGTGATTAGAATCCACACGGGATTACTGGGCTCCTCTACACAGGTCTAGTCAGCTCCTAACATTACTGGGAAGGAGCCCAGAATGTTGTCGGATGCAGGAATGCAGATGGGCAGGACCTGCATCATGTCTGGATAAAAGGGCCACCTTCTGGTCCACCATCATGACAGGTTTGACAATCCTGCTTTACCACCACCTCTCAAGCTGTGGTTCCCAATTGGAGGTGATTTTGCCTTCCCCAGGGTTCAACTGTTAACGTCTGAAAACATATTTGGTTGTCACAGTGGAGAGGGGACAGGTGCTACTGGCACCCAGTGAGTAGGAGCCAGAAATGCAACCAAACAGCCTTCAGCACACAAGACAATCTCCCATATCAAAGAACATCAGCCCAAATGTCCATAATGCCAAGGCTGCAAAATCGACACCATCAGACTTAAGACCTATATGAAAATCATCTTTAAAAAAAAATGCTTGAAATGGGGTTGCCAGATAAAATACAGAATGCACAGTTAGTTTTGAATTTTAAATAAGCAAAAAATAATTCTACCTAATAAAAGAATAATATGCAAATTAACCATCTTTCCGCTATACCCACAAGCCACACCCACCAGCCAGGCCAACCAGCCATACCCATCAGCCAATCAGAGCGAGTATGCAAATTAATCCCAACCAAGATGGCTGCCACCACAGAGAGCAGGAGGGAGGCTTGAGTTTCCCTGGCAATGGAGGAAGCCAAGCTTTCCACACATTCTGGCCGGCCCAGGCCTCTACTCCAGGCTACAAAGTTTCAATTACAAAAGATAAATCTCAAGAAAAATGGCAGCAGCCATGGAGCTAGAGAGAGCAGGCTAGTGTTTCTCCCTCTAGGCTACAAAGTTTCAATTATAGAAGATACATAAATCCCAACAGAAATGGCTGCCGGCCATGGAGTGAGAAGGAGGCTTGGCTCTGCTCCAGGCTACAAAGTTTCAATTATAGAAGATAAATAAATCCCAGATACCAGGGCCTCTGCTTGGGTCGATGGGGGCATGGCCAGCCTGCAAACCACCACAGGCCCCTCACCCAGGCCGCCCACACCCCAAGGGAACCCCCATCCTGATCCGGGACACCCTTCAGGGTAAACCAGCCAGCCTCCACCCATGCACCAGGCCTCTGTCCTATCTAATAAAAAAGTAATATGCAGATTGACCATCACTCCAATACACAAGATGGCTGTCCCCATGTGGTCAAAGATGGCCACCCCCATGTGGACACAAGATAGCCACCACAAGATATCCAACAGGGGAGGGCAGTTGGGGGAGACCAGGCCTGTAATGGAGGGAAGTTGTGGGCAAACAGGCTGGCAGAGGGAAAGTTAGACATTAATCAGGCTCTCAGGGCAGTGGTTAGGGGGTGATCAGGCTGGCAGGCAGAAGTGGTTAGGGGCAATCAGGAAGGCAGGCAGGCGAGCAGTTGAGAGCCAGCAGTCCTGGATTGTGAGAGGGATCCCCAATTGGAGAAGAGGCAGGCTGGGCTGAGGGATAACCCCCTCTGTGCACAAATTTCATACACCTGGTCTCTATTATTCTATATAATCAAGACCTGATATGCAAATGGTCATCACACCCTCATGCCATCACACCTTAACAGCTCAGACGTTTAACACTGGGGAGAGAGGAATGGG